CTTTCTACACTCTGATATCCAATTATCTGCGTTACAACACTCTACATGCCAAACCACTTCTATATTTTTAAACCTCATTTTGGCACATCTTACCAGATATTATTATTATTCCATGTTCCGCATATCCAACTAATCATCTTTTGTATTGTTCTTTTGAGATTTTGAGAAATAATCTTTATCAGCCTTTTACTATCCATCAACATTCGCCAAAAATATTTAATCTGTACATCACTAGTGTCACTTTCTTACTCCTGATTATATTCTTCATCTCTATAAATCCCCAATCCATCCTAGCATGGAATACTGTTGCCATATAAAGGGAAATACATCAAACATGTCCTTTTTGAAAAAATGCATCGTAAACATAGTTTAACCTGCTCTTTCAGCTAACCTTCAACCTTTGTCACGCCTTTTGTTCTCTTTTCTATAAATAATAAATAGCCTGCTGGTCTAAAGAGCTAGAATCTCTTGTGACTACAAAAAATCATTATTTTACTCGTCATTCAATGAATGTGGCTGTTCATAAGTGCAAAATAAAAAATCTTGTTTCAGTTTTTTGATTGGTGTTTACTTTTAATTTTCCTGATTGTATGAATTATATAAATCAGGAAAATATGATCTTCCTGATTATATGAACCTGGAAAACATTTATAATCTTCTGTAAACTGTCATTTTGCACTATATAACCTTTTTCATGATTTTTCTAGTAACTTCGTTCTCCAATAGTGGTTGCTTCTAGCCTTTATAATTTTATTCCTGATCTATCAGTTAAAAAAAAGTTAAAATAAAAATAAAAACAGTGATAATTTTGTTGTTAGAAGTAAAGATATTAAAAGATATTACTTTTTTTTTTTTCAATTAATGATAAAAGAATTTAATTTATATATTAGGTGGCCACCTGTTTTAATTATTTTTCAGAAACAAACAACAGCTTGAGCGAAATTTGTATGCATATACTGAAATTACATAGACATAATTAGACATTAAATTTTTTTTGACTATTGCGTTAACACTTTTATTTTAACAGGATTAAACTAGATTCAAACTCAATTATTCAACCTTTTTTTATTTTTAGATACTAAGCGGTGGAAGTATATCCGCAGATTGAGTAAACAGATTAAATCCTCAACAGTTAAAATAACTGTGATTGCGCAGGAATACAGTTATGTTGTTGCATATTGGATTTATAGAAGATGATAATGTATAATTTCCACAAGGCTTAAAAGATGGCAAATAGTCTATAAATGATCAGGAGAGTAAGGGCTTTTCGTACATGGCTAGTTTTGTATAACCCAAGATCATTTGCTGTGAATAGCTCCTGCACTTGATATTGTTACTTAATTTAAAAAACTGACGGCGTATGTACTAAAAAATACTAAAAAGATTTTAAATATGTCTATGATTATATATATGCGATTTTAATATAATATAGTATGATAGGTTTAGCAATATATTATAAATATTTACAGAGGCGTATCATTAAATAAGTTTGCATTTTATATTTTCATTTTATATTTTCATTGCTAAAAAGTTATTTAAATATTTTATAAATAATCGAGTTTTAATATATATTTATTGGTTATATTCACAGATGAAAATTTTCCGGGAATTCTATTACTAAAAGTATTAATTTCTGAACCATTTTCTCAGATTTTATATTTAAAAAGTAAATAAATTATTACTCTTTGCAAACTGTTTACGGTAAAACTGAGACATTGTATTTGATTTTAAAGAATTTTGAAGAAAAATAGTTATTCAGTAGTTTTTAGTTAATTTATCTATCCCTTTACCATCATTCCAGAGTATATCCACATACCTTCGTCAACTAGTTGACCATATAATTTTTCGGTATTTTCATAGAAAAAAAATTTCCGGGATTTTCATCAAGTCAACAACTCATCTATGTTATATTATTGCTTTTCTTTGTCTGTCATGTTCTTAAAACTGCTTGAAATAAGAGTTTCTTTGTTTGAGTAGATTCTGAAAGAAAAGTATCGCTGTTACTTGTTTTGAGCGAAGCGAAATAATAGCACTTCAAAAACTTGCATGCTTAAGACTAAAATTAAAAATTTTAAATTTGGAAGAAAGACCTCTAAATATTAAAAAAGGGCTCCTAAATTTGTTCTCCCTCCGACCTCGTAGAGGGCATTAGTGGGCTAGCGACGGCTTGGGTTGGATCATTTATTTAAAGCATCTAAATAACTCTATTTATTAATGGAAAATTGATTTTTAGATGGAAATACATTTAAATGTTTCTTTTATGTATCATTGTATTAGCAAAACTGTTTTCTTGATGTTCGATTTTTGTTCAATTTATTCGTGTTATTTCATGTATGTAACAAGATCACGCGAATTTTTCTTTACTATTATGTTAGCACCATGTTACACTGACATTTTTACGTTTTTACAAAACCTCCGGTTTAACGGGTAACGAGTCGTTTTGTAAGAGCACTATTTGATTATTTTTCAAGTTTAAACCTTAATATTTGGATAGGTTTCAGGTGTCACATAACTTTCTCTGCATTTTCAGACTAAATCCCTATGATACTACATCCTGCAAAAAATGTATGTGCAAATCTCCGCGTTAAGAAATAAACATCATTAAAAATTAACACAACTTATATTTTTGTACTTTTAAACTGATAATAAGTCAATCGCTCAGTTTTAAGCAATTTTTTATTTTTTAAACTAAGTTTTTTGGGTTACGTGTGATATTAGCTATAACAGTTATGTGAAACTTCTTCCCTAAACTTTTTCCCTAGTTATGTGAAACTTCTTCCCAAAAAATGGGTTCAAATTTGGCAAAAACTAAATTTCTAGAACAAATTTCAAAAAATCTCAAAATTTTAAAGGCGGATTCTGAGTGAAGGAAACGTTTTTAGAATTATTTTTGTCCTAAACGTTTTTCTCTATATTCTGAACAATATATAAAAATTTAAGTAATTTGGAGGGGAATACTTCCACTTTTTCCCGAATTTGCCTGATTCTTACAAAAAACGGCTTTTAAAGTCACGGTAATGAAGTCCGATTAGTTGATTTTCAAGTCACGTCATCAATTGTGACAAGTTGATTTTTAAATTCGCAGAACAGTTGTTTCTACATTTTTTTTCAACAATTCTCTTATCATTGCTTTTAATTTTTTCTTTAAATTAAATGTCACGACAACGTTGCACTACTTTTATAGCTTTAAGTTTTTATGCTTTTAAGGCCGGCGGTCTATAATTATAGACCGCCGTCCTTAAAAGCATAAAAGCATAAAGCTATAAAAGTAGTGAAACGTTGTGTGTTGAGGGTTTTTACTTATATAATACTTATATAAGTAACAGGCCGTGACACGCAAAACTTAGAAAAAAATGCGGGGGCCGATATTTCAAAAATCAATATGATAATTTTTTAAAAACAAAATATGTTGCTCCCGTTATATAAAGCATTAAACTATGTAAAAATTTGTACAATTTAGAAATCTTTTTAAGTTTTTAACAAGAAACTTTATTTAATTGTTTCAATTCATAAAATTGCTTAAATAATGAAATAAAAAAGTTTTATATCAGGTAAAAAACAAAAGTTAAATAAAGTACTGTTAGGGGGTAACTGCACCTTTAAATAGGAATATATTTTAGTGATTTAAATAAATAAGAAATACTTTTAAAATCATAAAACAGAAACTTTAAATCAATTAATAAATTTCAATAAAGAAATAACAGCATAAGTGTCAATAAATAACTGTCAACTTAACAAGACAACTTTAAAATTTTCAGAGACGGTTCTTTGTTCGATCTTGGTGTGGAAAGTTTGCAGTGGTTTTTGATAAAAATATTTGACAGTATATTACCATGATGTCGTTCCATGTCAAAAGAATAATGATCCGATATAAGCATAAAAGTGTTGCACAGGGATGTCCGACAAACTTTATCTTTAATAGAGTTAAATAGTACAAATGAGAAGAAAACCCATTGAACAGTATTATCAAAAGGAACTTTTAACCCACCTCTATCGACTGATTTTAGATATTGACCAAACTTTTCAAAATAAAACATTGTTCTGGTTAAAAGTTCATTTTCATTAAGCAAATCATCATTACGAGACACATATCCGGCAATATAAACAAGAGACATCTTTGATTGAACAGTTATACTTTTTTCTAGTGTTGGTAAATTATCAAAGACCTCAGCTGAAGATTCATCAAGTAAAAATCCACAAAATTGGCAAGAATGTCCTGCATCAGGAGTTGACTCATTAATGTTATATGACAACAAAAGAAAGTTTTAGAAATATTGAACTTTTTAATTATTTGCTGGACACTTAAAAAATATGTGCCACCAGATCCTTGTCTTAACTTGCTGAATTCTTTTTCAAGTGGGTCTGTTGTAAATTTTCCCAACATAACATATTTGTGTTTTTCTTTTAATAGTGTTTTTGTCAACTCAACAATTCCTTTACATGTATGATTTATGGAATATCCTGTATCATGTGTTAATTGTTTTATACGCTTCCCTTGATTACTTGTCATACGTAATGCCATATCATCATTTGGATCTCTGATGACAGCTTTTCGATCATCATTAAACCTACAATCTACACCCACACTTTTTACATTTAAAATTTTCCACCATGTAACAACCATTTTAATAAAATCAGCAGTCTCATTTATGTTTAAGATGTTGGAGGTTTCAGGATGATTAAGTAAAGCGCTGTATGTTTTTTCAGAAAACACTTTTAGACAGGTAGAAACAGATTGTCTTTCAATATGACTGGGTCGAACAGAAACTTCATTCAAATCAGAAAGTTTCATTAGACAATTAGAATCAGCTTCAAAAAGTTTTATCAAATGACTCCAACAAGCTGTTTTCTCAACACCATTTTCATAAAAAATTAATTCTTCTTTTTTTTCTGTGAGCCAATTGTTTCGGATGTTTTTGATTAAGTGGACAAAGTCAAACTACAAATAGGTTCCATTGGTGGTTAGCCAAGGTTTTTCAGGAAATGTGTCAAATTTTAAAAAAAATGCTTGATTAGTTCGATTTCCATCACAAGCAAGGATTGTCTTTGCGTTGCCATTAGACTCTTTAACTGCTTCAACAGTCAAATGAATTTGATCATATAAAAATTGAGAATTTAATTTGTTTACAGGTAACATTTTCACAAGAAATTTAGGTCCACCAAACATACAAGCAATATGAAACTGCAAAAATAATTACGATTAAAGGTGTTCGTACTTCAGTAAGTACTGAAGAGACACTTGTACCTTCACAACTTTATTTTCAGCATTTTGGTGCCCTAAAGGATGGACTTACATCACAATTTTTATGCATTTGAGATATTTTTCTAACTCTTAAAGTACCCTTTAAATAATTTTTATTTAAAATATTTAAATAAAATTTATTATTATAGAGAAGTTATCACGCAGAAAATTCAAATCCATTCGTATTATACAAATTTAAAAATTTTAAAATAAACAAAATATTTTTTTCTATGTAAAGTTTACATACACTTCATTTTACTTGTCTATGTAAATTTTACTTGTACTGTTCACAGCTTTACAAAATAAAATTAGTTTTTGTCACAAATATTTTTTTTTACACTGCCCTAACGTCTACACTACACAATTATTTAAAACTTTAAAACAAATTATATTTTGTCAAAAAATGCAATTGCATATCGAAAAATAAAATTTTTTATAAGTTCACAAGGAATTTACTTACGAATCCTAAAAAAATAACAATTCTTCTCCATTTGAAATAATTTACTTAACTATAAATTGTTTAAAAATCCATAAATGAATATATCATTAAAACAACATACCTTTGAACTGAGTTTCTGGTGTTTGTCACCATGTCTCTGCACCATGTCTTTTATCGATTTGTGTTGTTTTCCATTGCTGTTAGTTTATGAATGAAAAGGTAAACATCACTTTGTGATTTTTAACCATTGAATTCATTATTAACAGAACGAAGTACCTGAAAAAATTTTGAAAAACTTGATTTTCAACAAACTTTACAGTATCAACTTGATTTTCAAGAAACTTAACAGTATCAACATGACTTTCAACAAACTCTACGCTATCAACATGACTTTCAATAAATTCTACGCTACCAACATGACTTTTAGCAAATTCTACGCTATCAACATGACTTTCAACAAATTCTACGCTATCAAGATGACTTTCAACTAATTCTACGCTATCAACATGACTTTCAACAAATTCTACGCTATCAAAATGACTTTCAATAAATTCTACGCTATCAACATGACTTTCAACAAATTCTACGCTATCAAGATGACTTTTAATAAATTCTACGCTATCAACATAACTTTCAACATATTCTACACTATCAACATGACTTTCAACAAATTCTACGCTATCAAGATTACTTTCAACAAATTCTCCATTATCAAGATTTCTTTCAACAAATTTCACGCTATCAATATGGGGGAGGGGGTTAAATAAGATTGCGTTGGGTAAGAAAATGTTCCAAAAACTATTAAACATACTCCTTCTATTGTATGAAGAATGCAATAGTAACAAATTTAAAAACAAATCAACATAAGAGTTAGGATTTTTTCCAACCTCTTAAATAAATATGTCAGAAACACATATTAAAATGGACTAACTTACGAAGCCAAATATGTATCTAATTTTCATTAAAAGATTAATTGCTCTAAATGTTATTAAGTATTTTCTAATCTATTTAAATTTTAGATTGTTTGCAAAACATTTACTTAAATATTTTTTTCCATAAAGATATTCGTAAATATTACCAGTAAATAATAATGAAAACAAATTTTGCTTAAAAATATATGCTAAACAAAAAAACCATCTAAAATATGAAAAAACAAAGTTAAAATAACTAAAAAACCACACAGGTTAAGTGACAGTCATATCTGTATCTGAAGTGGCATCTTTGATAGTATGTGTAATAATAAAAAAATTAATTAAAACATCATATTTTGTGTTATTTCTGTCAGCTTATTCTATAAGTTAAAAATCATAACATGTTTTTAAAATGTAAAGTGATATAACTCTTTGCATTCAAAATATTCAACCATTTTGCCAGCAGCAGGCATTCGACAGGAAGAGAAAATATCTAACTCTTGAAAATTGAATAAGTAGTATATAATAAATACGATGTTTTAATGAATTAATTATATATATATATATATATATATATATATATATATATATATATATATATATATATATATATATATATATATATATATTTGATTATATATATAGATCCATAGATATAGATCTATACATATATCATAGATTATTATCAAATAATAACTTGCACGAATCACAAAAGAAGATATCACAGATACTTTTCTGATAGTCAATTAAACATGATAAGTGATATAAATCATCGCATTCAAAACATTTAATCATTTGGCCTGCAGCCGGCATTCGACAAGAACAGAAAATATCTATAGCCTCAATGCGGCTAACCCCACCAATTTCTGTACTTACCTTCACTGTTGGAAACATGGAAAGAACCGTTTCTTGAAGGCTTTTCAATAAATTATCCTGCATCAGATTTTGTTTAAACAAACAATGATCTGGTTGTATCTGCTTAGTTAAAGCTGCAGCAAAAGCTACAGCAAATAAACCGCAATCATTTCCTCCTTTCTGTTTTTGAACATCCATTATTTTAATGATAATTTTTTTCTCAGGATATACCAAAAGGGCAGCAATCTGTTTTTTCCCTTGATCACTCAAAGAGTTCAACATGCTGTCATAAATAAAAACTTCATTCATTTTTTGCGCTCCTATATTGCTAATTGTAAACCAATGTCCATCATGGAGTATCTGGATAAAACTATTTTTCATTGCAAGAAATGCCATATTTAATCCTAGAATAGGATCTTGGAAACCAGCTATTGATGACTGTGCCTTTAAAATATTCTGCGAGGTAAAAATTATGCTATCTGTTAGCCACTCATTCTCACTCCTAAGAATATTTCTTTCAATGGATGTCAACTCACACAAACTGTTTTTTACCCACAATACCTTCTTTTTTGTTTCTTTTGATGCAATTTTGTAGGTTTCCACCTCAATTGTACTTATCTCAATTCTCTGATCTTTATTGGATACATTTGTTTCATAACATTTTTTCTTTGCTGGTGTACTATAATCATGATCATGATTGTTGCAGAATTTTGAGGACTGCATTGGCAATATAATAGATTTTGAGGACTGCATTGGCAACAGAGTAGATTTAATACTAGATGTAAAAAATATATCAGATTTGTTTTTCTGGTCAATGATGTTGCCTGTTGGATTTGTATGACTACTATCAATTTTACTACATTCCTTAAAATAATCCGCCTCTGTTACTGCCACATTAATATCACAAGTAATGTATGGCTTAATGTGAGCACCATTAACCTTTTTTTCCTTTAAGGTGGCTATCTCTTGTAAGAGATATGACCCCTTTCCTAAATTTTTCAAAATACAGAAAGGTCCAAGCCATCTGAAATCTAGTTTTCCATCTTTTCGTTTTTTCCGCAAAAAATCCTTGATCAGGACTTTGGATCCAATTGCATAAACAAATGGATAAGCATGCTTCTTGTTATAATGCAGTTTCTGATTTTCTTGAGCTGTTTCAATATTTTTTTTAGCTTTTTCTAGGATACATGATCTAAAGTATAAATAATTATTGTAAAACTTCATTCAATTTAAAATCAAACAAAGAACTTTTCACATTTTATATCTTTCAATAATTGTTGTACCATTAAATTTTGTACAATGCTATTCAGGCTACCAGAAAGAAAAAAAGAAAAGAAAGAAGGAACAATTATTTTTTATTAAACCAATAAAAGCTTTATACCTTTCCTCTATTATTTTGTTCATAAAATGTTGACTACTCTCAGGTCTTGCGTTAAAATCAAATAACAACGATTCAGGAGATTCACCAGCAACTTCAAATTCAATAGGAAGTATGGGTTTTCTACCAAACATTAACTCAAAGGGAGTGTATTTTATAGACTCCTGCCTTGACGTATTGTATGCAAAAGTACATGCATGATTTACGTACATAAGGGCTCGGCCACCTTTTTTTAAATAAGGTGATAGTGTATCTATAATTTTTATTATGTGATTTTTTTAACTTTATTCTTAAATAATTTTTCATTATCAATACATAACATATTTGTTATATTATATTATTATTATTATTGTTATTATTATTATACACTGCAAGGAGAGAAACCCCTGGAACAGAACATGAGTACATGTTCTGCTATAAGCAGATCAAATGCTTAGTGCCAGTCATTTGTAATTGTTATATCATAGTTTGATTTTTTTTTCAAAAAAAAAAACTGTTTTTAAAACTTTTAACACTCTTCTGGAACTTAATCGAATCATCCAAATTATTCCAGTGATTGGCAACTCTGTTTGTGAAAAATATACATTAATAATATATAACATATTTGTAATATGGAAGTTATGCATAACATAGGTTAAAAACTGTGAACAGTGTCAGCATGTAAAAAAATATAGTAAAAAAAACACAAATAAACAACAACAACAACAATCAATTAACAATTATTATTACTGGCGTTATTATTAGCATTAAAATTACTGGCGCAGGCGACAAGCTGATTTTTAAAATGTCAGCAGTTAAGCAGTTAAGTATCAAGAGCAGCGTAAACATATTTTTATAACTTGAGTACTTGTCATAGCTAAAAAATATTTTAACACATTTCTTGTAACAAGATTGTAGATTTGAAAAAGTACTTACACTAAAGTTAAGCCACAAAAATGCATCATAAAGAGGCAGCACGCCTTAAACAACTGTATTTTTAACTTTACTGAGCATCTTTTAAATCGTCTGTTAAGAATAATTGTACGTGTAAATAGACATTAAATATAACTATTTATATCAGCATTATCAGTTAAATTATTTTCAATTATGTGACCTAGGTAATTAAATTTGTAAAAAATGGTTATCTGTATACTACATATTTGATTACTAACATTGTTATTAATATATATTCTATATGTTTTGTCACTAAGTATACTGTATTTGGAATCTATTATACAGTGGCACTGTAAAATATATCTATGTGTTATCTATATGGCTATTTCCAGGATGGAAGAGGCAAATTTGATTTTAAAAAACTTTGTTTTTCAAAAACTTTTTTTCTTTAACTATAGTTTAAAAACAATGAAGTTTCTTATTAATTAAATTTCGAGTCAAAAATATTTGTACAAAGAAGTTAAATGTGACAAAAGTAAGCGGTCGTTTTCTCTTTATACTATTTGAAAAAGCGAATAAAACTTAAAGACAGGTAATTCAAATATTTTTAAAAATATATATCTGTTTTTTCATTTAAAAAGGTTCTTCTAGATTAAATATATGACTTGAATAAAAAACTTTTAGATTTTAAAAATAATTCAAGTGCTCTTTTTCAAACAAATAGATTACACGTATGCAAAAAACACATACACGTATGCAAAAAATTAGGTTGCGTCACTGAACTGAAAGATAAAAAAGTTTCATTATTAATATGAAATTATGCTAGACTTTTTTAGAAATCTTTCAATAAATTTTTGCTCCGCAAAAAAAAAAAAAAAAAAATTTAAAAGCATTATATAAACTTATAATTTGAGTTTCAAAACTGTTGGGTTACTGAATATGATATTTATCTTTTAATAAAATAGTGAGGTGAAAATTAAAGGAAGTCAAAATTAAGATTTCTTTATTGTTATTGGTCGATTGACTTTTTCATTTTCATTTCACTTTCATTTCATATCATATCAAAAAGAACATTGGTTATGAATACAGTATAAATGGGGTTATTTTAGAAGAAATTGAGACTGAAACCTTGGGATTGTGATATCACATGATTTGAAAGCATCTAACCAAAGCATGGGGGCTTTTGAAAATGCAAACAAAATTATGGGAATGACAAATCACACCATTGCCTATAAACAATCTAACATTATGTTATAACTATATAAATCATTAGGAACTGGAACTTACTTAATAACAATACTGTAACAGTCACTTCCCTAAATTGTTTCAAGTCAAAACTAAATAGGTTACAAACAACAAGGATTGGCTTCTTTATGGACTAACGCCTACATAGCTCAATTGGTCAAAACTGGATTGCTTTAGCAATAATGGTATGGCCATACCAGGAAAATAACCAGGTAAATAATTGAAGCGTTATCAGAAATTATTTTTAAATATTGGTTTCGTGTTTGCGGTTTCATAACACATTTTTAAGAAATGGAATCCAAATTAGAAGTAAAAAAATAAAATTATGCAAAGTATCAAGATAATTAAGCTTTTTGAAGTCCTGTTATAGAGAAAAAAATGTTTAATTTAAGTTTTCTTTATTTTTTATCTTCTACCATTTAAAACATGTGTCCGCCATTTGCAAAGACATATCAAAGGACTTTTCATTATAATTACCCACAATACAGTATCGTGATAAATAAAACTATAAGTAATGTATTTTATAATAATGTATATTATAAGTTGTATAACTTTTATGTTATAAGTAATTTATACAATATAACATAAGAAATTTATAGTAATACTATACATAATTAATGCTATATCATATAAATTACTTATAATATATAAGCTATGTATTATATAACCTATAAATCGTAACCTATATATGTATATACATTATATATATGCATATATAATGTATATACATATATAGGTTACGATTTACATATATATATGTATATACATTATATATACGCAATACAGTAATGTCACATTACTGTATTGCGAGTCTATTTCAACTCACCATTTTACTCACATTAAATGCGAGTAAAATTATTTTACTCACATTTAATGTGAGTAAAATAGTGACTCACTAGTAACTCTAGACTAACTAGACTAGTTGAGCTACTAGTAAATCACTATTTTAAAAATAGTGAGTTACTAGTTACATAGTAACATAGTTAGAAATTATAACTATGTACTAGTAATACTACAAACATAGCATCTTAACCTTTACAATCTTTACCTTTCTGCTTTTCGTCTAACTGTCCGCTTATCATTTAGGGTGCAGTCATGACGATAAACAGATTTAGATAAATAGTTACTAACATCAGCAAGCATCATTTCTTCATAATTACTTTTCTGTTCATCCATTTTTAAAATGATTTTTGATATTTTATAATAATAATTTATTTTAAATCGAACAATATTAATTATAGCTAAATATATAACAAATATAAAATCTTATAATCACGGCTGATTTTGTACCAATTGTTGGTACAAAATCAGCCGCGATTCTTTAACTAATTATTTGCTAAGTAGGACAATTTACTCCAATGTAGGACATTCTACTCCGGAGTAAACTGTCCGGCCGGACAGTTTACTCCGGCGGACTGTTTTCTCCGTGACAGCTCTTAATTAAAAAATTTTGTCCAAGTCTCTTCAAAATAAAAAACCATAAATTAATACGCGTTTCACCAGATTAAATTGTGACAATCGTTATTTTAGAAGATAAAATTCAAAATTAAAGAATGCCTTAAAAAATTAAATAAAATTAAAAAAAATTAATAAAATGCCCAATTAAAAAGATAAAAACAATTATTAAGAAAAATGTTGATAAATATTTCACATATATAAAAAGTTCTTACGTAGTTTGGTGGAATTGGTATCACTGTCTTTTTAATGAAATCAATACCACCGTCATCAAATCGCGCTCTTTTTGGCAAAGTTTCTTTTTTTTTTGGAATAAAAAATTTTTCTATATTCGTCTTTGGTTTTACAGGCGTAATCTCTATTTCTAGACGATTAGATGTCAAATATGTGCTAGATTTTTTATTATGGCTGATTAAAGTAGATTTTGGGCGACCAAAATCTACTTCAATCAGCCATAATAAAATATTTGGAAACACGACTTCGAGTGTTTCCAAATATTTTATAACTTTAAATACTTCGCGCGCATCTAAACTCTGATATAGATGATTTCAAAATGGCCGAAAAACGATTTATTGGCCGGAAAAAGAATTATTAATAACTTATTTTTATATAACGGCTGCAAGACAACGGATCTATTCAAAATTAATGCCTAATAAATATATATATATATATATATATATATATATATATATATATATTTCTCTATCATATTTATAAATATTTACATATATGTTAAATAAATTTAAAAAAAAGGTCTTCAATTACCTGAATTTGGGCGGCGCCCAAATCGGCGCCCAAATACGGTCGGCGCTGTCGAAAACGGTCTAGAATAGCCCCTGATATATATATATATATATATATATATATATATATATATATATATATATATATATATATATATATATATATATATATATATATATATATATATGTATATATATATATATATATATATATATAAATACATACATATATATATATATATATATATATATATATATATATATATATATATATATACATTTACTTACTAAATAAAATAATAATCAAGAAAATTAACAGCTAGTTCAATTTTTTTTAATAACTGCAGTATAGGAAAAAAAGATTTATTGAACAGCTTGCGATATTATTTTTTGTTCTCATTGTATCTGGATGGTTGATACCTAAAATTTCAGTTTGTATTTTATCAACAGAAAAATAAATTTCTAAAGCTTCGTTATATTTTCCCATAGCGGACAAACAGTTTGCGATATTATGTTTTGTTCCTATTGTATTTGGATGGTTGGTACCTAAAATTTCAGTTTGTATTTTATTAACAGAATAATAAATTTCTAAAGCTTCGTTATATTTTCCCATAGCGTACAAACAGCTGCTATATTATTTTTTTGTTCCTATTGTATTTGGATGGTTAATACCTAAAATTTCAGTTTGTATTTTATCAACAGAATAAAAAATTTCTAAAGCTTCGATATATTTTCCCATAGCGGACAAACAGTTTGCAATAATATTTTTTGTTGACATTGTATCTGGATAGTTGATACCTAAAATTTCAGTTTGTATTTTATCAACAGAATAATAAATTTCTAAAGCTTCGTTATATTTTCCCATAGCGTACAAACAGCTTGCGATATTATTTTTTGTTCTCATTGTATTTGGATGGTTGATACCTAAAATTTCAGTTCGTATTTTATCAACAGAATAATAAATTTCTGAAGCTTCGTTATATTTTTCCATAGCGGACAAACAGTTTGCGATATTATGTTTTGTTCCTATTGTATTTGGATGGTTGATACCTAAAATTTCAGTTTGTATTTTATCAACAGAATAATAAATTTCTAAAGCTTCGTTATATTTTCCCATAGCGTACAAACAGCTTGCTATATTATTTTTTGTTCCTATTGTACTTGGATGGTTGATACCTAAAGTTTCAGTTTGTATTTTATCAACAGAATAATAAATTTCTAAAGCTTCGATATATTTTCCCATAGCGGACAAACAGTTTGCAATATTATTTTTTGTTGACATTGTATCTGGATAGTTGATACCTAAAATTTCAGTTTGTATTTTATCAACAGAATAATAAATTTCTAAAGCTTCGATATATTTTCCCATAGCGGACAAACAGTTTGCAATATTATTTTTTGTTGACATTGTATCTGGATAGTTGATACCTAAAATTTCAGTTTGTATTTTATCAACAGAATAATAAATTTCTAAAGCTTCGATATATTTTCCCATAGCGGACAAGCAGTTTGCAATATTATTTTTTGTTGACATTGTATCTGGATAGTTGATACCTAAAATTTCAGTTTGTATTTTATCAACAGAATAATAAATTTCTAAAGCTTCGTTATATTTTCCCATAGCGTGCAAACAGCTTGCGATATTATTTTTTGTTCCTATTGTATTTGGATGGTTGATACCTAAAATTTCAGTTTGTATTTTATCAACAGAATAATAAATTTCTAAAGTTTCGTTATATTTTCCCATAGCGAACAAACAGTTTGCGATTTTATTTTTTGTTGACATTGTATCTGGATGGTTGATGCCTAAACTTTCAGTTCGTATTTTATCAACAGAATAATAAATGTGTAAAGCTTCGTTATATTTTCCCATATCGTTCAAACAGCTTGCGATATTAACTTTTGTTGACATTGTATTTGGATGGTTGATACCTAAAATTTCAGTTAGTATTCTAACAACAGAATAATAAATTTCTAAAGCTTCGTTATATTTTCCCATAGCGTTCAAACAGCTTGCGATATTAACTTTTGTTGACATTGTATCTGGATGGTTGATACCTAAAATTTCAGTTTGTTTTTTATCAACAGAATAATAAATTTCTAAAGCTTCGTTATATTTTCCCATATAGATCCAACAGCTTGCGATATTATGTTTTGTATCAGTTGTGAATTTATTATTCTCTCCATATGTTTCTGCATTAAATTTTTTAATACTTTTTAATATTTCGATTGCTTCTTGAAATAAACTTTTACATACTAATAGAGTTTGAATAGATGTCGTCATCTGATGGAAGGTTTTTGACATTCTTTTTTTGTTAATACGAAACATGTGAAAAAATGAAATATAAAGTGCTTTCCGTGATCAACGTGAGCTTTTACTTCGTTTAACTCAAATTGAAAATATTTTTCCATTAGATAAAAATATGTATTTGTACTTGAGTTTTTGTTTTGAAAATATTTACACGACAACTGTGTCAGTTCGTGCATTGAATATTTTTCATCATCCAAACGATCTAGCAAAGAATAACTTATTAGTAATCCAACGGCTTCATCTATTAAATAATCTTCATTTACTGTCATTTGTTTTATGATTTGAGTGATAAATTCTTTATTTATGCTTTGACCATTACAATAAGATAAACAGTTGAGTAATTTTAATGGAATAATTTTTTTTCTTTCTAATTTTTTTAACACTAAATTGATTGCTTTTATAGCAGACTTTGATTTTTCTTCCGTTGGAAAGTATTCATCATCTAGTATTTTAATAGGATTTGATTTATATCGATCTATATATTTTTGTGTGGAAATTTTATGTATCTCTATATATTTTATTGCTTGAGTAATAGCGAACGGATGATAACTAAGTTCTTTAATTAGGTTTTTTATACTTTCGTCGGTGTTTTCTTTTATACTATTTTTTACGTACTCGAAAGCCTCTTTAGAAGAAAAAACATCGATTAACATTTGATTTACTTTATTTGACCACCTTCTCCATTGAGTTGTAAATAAAGTAAATGATTTCGGTTTCTTTGAAATAAACATTCCCAAATTTCGAACGCTTTCATCGTCGACATTATCAAAAATATACAGAGTTTTTTCGTTTTTATAATAGTTGTGAATTTTCTCAACAATCACTTCTATATTAAAAGAATTGCCTTGAGAATCTTGAACAACAAATCCTAATAATTCATAAAGGTTTATCATTGAAGTATGTAATTTTCCAAATCCTGCATCTATCCAAACAAAACGTTCATAAAAGTCATGATGAATTTCACAATATTTTCTGGTAAGTTGTGTCTTCCCGGCACCAGACATTCCGTATAATACTAAAGTTGAGTTTCTATTATCTTGTAAATCGTTGAAATATTGATGAATTTTCGAAAGTTCTTTTTCTCGCATAAAGAACATATATGCAGTTGGTTGAACACCAAATATTGAACGGACAGTAAGCACTAAAGAAAAAAAAATGTGTATATATATATATATATATATATATATATATATATATATATATGTATATATATATATATATATATATATATATATATATTTTTTTTTTTTTAATTTTACATTTGTTGGTCGTATTACAACTATATATTGCCAAAAAAAATAAAATAAAAATAATGATGATAATAATTAACTTTCAAAAATATAAAATAAGGTATCTGAAAGAAGATCAAAGGATCTTGTCGTCAGAACCTTAAATAAGTTCAAACAAGCATTAACAGTATCAAATTTTTACAAATTTCATATATATATAATCCAAATATATATTTTATAATCCAAAGAGAGATCACGCGGATCTACTCACTAATATTTTATATAAACGTATACGTGAAGTAAAGAATATAAAATCAACAAAATAAGTAAGAATAAACTTTTTACAAATATAAATAAGAAAAGGCAAAGTTATTAATTTATATTATTAATAATAACATAATACGTCTTCTAATGAAAAAATTAGGGTTTTTAATTTACTTTTAAAAAAACAAAAAGTAATGGGTAGTTCGAAATCAAAATTGGGCAAAACAATTTTATTCCAAAGGTGTGGTGCCCGATAGACAATACAAAATTGATTAAAGTTCGTTTGACAGAAAGGTTCATTTAAAAAATCAGTATTTCTCAAATTGTATTTGTTGATGGGTTTCGGAGTAAAAATATCTTTGAAGACAGATTGAGACAAGTCATTTTTCCACATGTATACAAAGCATAAAACATTATATATATTTAGCTCGTATATATTTAAAATTCTCATTTCAATAAAATAATGTTTTGCGTGAGAAAAGCGATTTGCAAAGCAGATTAAACGGATAGCATGTTTCTGACGGCGATAAAGACGTTGCAACTTACTTTTTTCTGTACTACCCCAGGCGATATTAGCATAATTTAAATAACTGTGTATAAATGAATAATAAAGTTTGATTAAAATTTTCTTATTAAGGAAGATTCGTGCTTTATATAAAACTCCTATGTTTTTTGAAATTTTAGTGCTTATGTAGTCGATATGATGATTCCAAGTGATGTTTTCATCAAGGTAAACACCTAAAAATTTTGTTACGGAATCCCTTTTTATTTCATTTTGATCAATAAAAATTTTAGGTAAGTTTAATGGCAAATATCGTTTTTTGGAAAGCGAATGGAATAAGGTCCACTTTGTTTTATTAGAATTTAGAGTTAACTTATTACATTTAAACCAACTCGATACATGTATAAGCTCTTTGTTCATTGTTTTAAAAAGTTCAAAGATATCACTGTTAGAAAGAAATAAGTTAGTATCATCTGCAAACATAATACTTGTTAGTTTAGAGGCTTTATTTAAATCATTAATATAAATTAGGAAAAGGAGTGGACCAAGAATTGAGCCTCGTGGGACTCCACATGTTATAGAAAGACAATTGGTATGATAACCGTCATTACTCGGAACAAATTGTTTACGATTTGACAAATAGCTTTCAAACCATTTTAAAACTTTATTTTTTATTCCATAGTGTTTAAGTTTATAGATTAGAATTTGGTGATCAACCGTATCAAAAGCTTTTGATAGATCAATAAAAAGTCCTAGAGTATATTGTGATTTTTCAAATGATTTTGAGATTTCCCGTACAAATTGGATAAATGCATGTTCAGTTGAGCTATCCTTTTTAAAACCGAATTGATTAATGTTAAGTAATTTATTAACATGAAAATATTTGTATACTCTGTTATATATAATTCTTTCTAAAATTTTTGAAAAGGTGGAAAGAACAGAAATAGGTCGATTATTACTTATAATTGATTTGTCCCCTTCTTTAAAAATAGGAATAATTTTGGCAATTTTTAACAGTTCGGGGAAAACACCTTGATGGATAGAAGCTTTAAAAACTTTAAAAAGAACAACTTTTAGCTGTTCAAAACAATCTATAATAACGTTTCCATTTATTTGATCTGCTCCAACTGCTTTATTTTTTTTTAAAGATTTGAAGGCTCTTTCAAACTCTTCAAACAACAATTCAGAAGACAACTCAACTGAACCAATGCAATTATCAATGGGTACTAGAAAATCAGTAAATAAAGATTTGGTGTTTGGGATTTTTTTAGAAAGTGTTGGACCTATATCGAAAAAAAATTTGTTAAATTCTTGAGCTATAGTTCTTGGTTCGTATAAACTTTTGTTATCGGCTCTAACCATTTGTGGCAGAAAACCTGAGCATGATTTTTGTTTTCCAATAATTTCATTCATTATTTGCCATGTGCGTTTTGTGTCATTTTTAAATGTATTGAGTAATTGGGAGTAATAATCTTTTTTTAGATTTTTGCGAATTTTTTCAAATAGGTTTTTGTAGTCCTTGTAAATTTTTTCGTTTTTAGGTGTTTTTGTTTTCAAAAAATTTATATATAGTTTTTGCTTAATTTTGGACGATTTTTTAAAGCCCTTAGTGATCCAGGGTGTATTTAAGCTCTTAGTAGTTATTTTATTTTCAATGATTGGGAAGTTAGCATCGTATACAGAAAAAAATGTTTTGAAAAAAGACTCATAGATATTGTTAGCATTATCATTAAAATTTATGTTATTCCAGTGTAGTAATGAAAGTTGATTTTTGAATAAATTAAGGTTAGCCTCATTATAAATGCGTTTTCTAATTACTCTTTGTGCGGTTAAAGTTTTATCAGAGTTTGTATTATCTAATTTTAGGAATATAGGGAAATGATCTGATATATCGGTTCGCAAAATACCTACTTTTAAATCATTGTTGAAAATATCTGAAGTTATTATATTATCTATTAGAGTTGCTGAATTTGTCGTTACTCTTGTAGGTTTGTTTATTAAAGATACTGATCCCGTTTCAAAAATTTCATCATAAAAATTTTTAACTTTAAGGTTATCATTATAAAGAAAACAATTCATGTTTAAATCTCCAATTATAAAATTTTGTTTTTTTTCAACGGTACCTTTTTTAATAATATATATATATATATATATATATATATATATATATATATATATATATATATATATATATATATATATATACACTGTAAAACTTTACCGTGAAAATCACGGTACTATACCGTTACCCATAAATGCCAGTATAGTACCGTGATTATTTTACAGTATAACACCGTGAATAAATCACGGTGAAACGCCGTAATTTTACGGTAGAATACCGTGATTATTCTATGATAAAATAGCGTGAATTACGGCATAGTACCGTGATTAATTCAAAGAAATGCCTCGTTCATTAATCGTATAATATATATTGTACAATAAAAATCGGTGCAAAATATATTTTAACTATCTTCAAAAAAAAATTCGCCTGTTTAACTTTTTCTTCGTATTATGATTATTACCGTGATTTGTTAAAATTGTTTTATCAAGTGTATTTTCAATCATAAATATCTATCAACATATATGCTTATTTATATGCTAATGGCAACAAAAACACGTCATATTTTAAAAATCTTTTCAGTTTTAATTTATTTACATGTTTATAAATAGAAATAGGTACTTAGATAAATTAAATGAATATAAATAAGTTAAAGCAAAATGCAAATTTTAAATTTCTGATATACCAATATGACTTTATATAAATAGTTATATTCGGAAAGTAGAAGTAATTAAAAAATAAAACAAGATATTATTGTAAAACCTTTGAAAATTTACAAACAAATATAAATAACTACATAATAAATTGTTGTTTGAGTTAAAGTTAGATGAAGGATTTTAACATGGCAAATTCAAACATTAAATTTCGCAAACTTCTGCAGTATCGACAGCACAATTTTGCTTATTGATGAAGTTTTCTTCGTTCGCCTTGATTTGCTACCCTTTTCCGGATTGATGCCAAAAAATGCACTAGAATGGTCAGTAATATATGTATAAGCAATTAACGTTTAAAAACATTCATAAATAAAACATACAACCAAAATCAAATACATAATAAACCTTAGACAAATTAAATAAATTTATACCGTTGACAAAATTCTAAAATTGAAGAAGCTTCTTTTGGATATGGTATATTGAAAATATAAAAACTAGCAAACAAACAACAAAATGAATTGACAAAATTGGTCATCCCATCAACCACAACAATGCAATCTATTACCAGCATGAATCGATTTGCTGTAAATAGCGAATTTCCTAAAAACAGAATGTAATTTGACTTATACACTGAAAAATCCACTTAAGTATATTTAAAGGAAAATGATAAAGTTCATCCTTTTTTTCAAAAACTTAAAACATATTAAAACTTATAATTCAACATACCATAAACACGTAGATGTGGAAAGTTTGGTCCTGGTGCCAATTCTGTTTGATCCACTGTCTCCTAAACATTTTTTTCTTACTATCAAATACTTTGAAGTAACTACATTGCATGTTATTATAAAATGAGTGTAACGATTAATTGCTTGAAAATTTTTATCGAATGTTTATTAAATTATTTATTTTTTTTAACTTACATCCACAAACAAAAAAAGTGTGTCAAATTTTTCATTAAATAAAGTAATCAAAGCCATTACAAGACCAGGAGCCACAGGTAAATCTGACAAAGTTTCGTGCTTTGCTTTATCTAAATCTAATATCACCTTCTTCACTCCAAGGTCTGTTATTCCGCAACTACGCAAAAATAAATATAACTTTTCATCATCTGGAGCTTTTGTCAGAAGTTCACCTGCATTAACTCCACCCATCAAAACATCAAAATGATGTAGCAAACCTTCAACCTAAATATAAAAAATTAATTCAAATACATAGATATACTAAAACTAAACAAAATAAACTTCTACAAAAATATAATTAAATAAAATATAGAATATAAAAATGAAATATCTAGTTATCATTATATTGATTAATATATACTGGTTAGTAATATAAATTATAATATTTTTAAATAAAAATAATTTAATTTACTGTAAATAAATTGGGGAATTTTATCAACAAATCATTCAATAGCATCTTTTCATTTATTTCAGTTCGTTGGAGATAATAATCAAGTTCATCAGGGCTGATTGAAACACTGAGAACTGGTGCTCGGTTCAAGCAACCATAACTATCAGTTTTTCTTTTTATGACATCAACTGGCAATTGTTCATTTTGGGTTTCCAAATTGAAAACATTTAGTAACGGTGGCGCATGGTTTGGCCGCTGAAGATAGTCGTAACGGTTTACTAGTTGTAACGTTAAACTGTCATGACCGCTACCAATTACTGTAGTACCATATTCATCTTTAAATGATTGAGGATATTTGGCAACCATAGAAGATGCAATTGCATCTAAATGTTTTTTCAACGGCTTTGAGCAAACAGCAAGGATATCATTCATAATAATCCTTATGATTGTACACCGATTAGCTGTTGAAGGTCTTTCTCCAGCTGCTAATATATCTCGTACCTCTTTAGACATTTTTTCCCAAGGTAAAACAAATGCCAAATACCAATCAGCCGCACTTACATGCTTAACCTTCATTACTAGACAGAATTGAAACTATATTTAAAACAGAGCAATTAAATATTTATAGAACACTAATAAAATATTTTTTCACTTATAATGGTTTATTAACAACTTTTTTTAATAACTTACTCAATTTAGTTGAGTTATTTTTCAGTTCAACTGTGGGCATCATTTGCATGCTGCATTGTGTGGCAACAATAAAATCTACAGGATTTTGAGATGTTCTGCAAAACGTTTTAATAATATTATAAATAAAAATATATAAATGTATATGATAAAATGATAATTATATATATATATATATATATATATATATATATATATATATATATATATATATATATATATATATATATATATATATATATATATATATATATATATCATATATCTTTATTACCAGAGCTTTCCTTTGCCCAAGATTCAAGGATTTTGCGTTGTTGGATGGGTTTTAGCAAAACCAAATCATCAATTTTCACCAAGTAGAGATCTGTTTCATTTTCAACACCTATTTCCCATAAATTATTCACAACCTGGTTCAAAACACATATGTCAATATTTGGCAATGTTCTTAAAATATTACGTTTAATAACCTCCATTATCTAAAAAAAAGAGATCATATATATCATGCACATATTACAAAAATATCCCATATATCATTATAAATTATATACAGTCATATACAGAGTCATGTTATATTGTAGGTCAATATTAATATATATATATATATATATATATATATATATATATATATATATATATATATATATATATATATATATATATATTTTAAGATAAAAACTGCAGACATTAGCCAAATACTACAAATAAAATAGTTTACAAATAAAATCTTTTATTACGATACTGTCAAATAAAATATACAACTTTTTAAAATTATTTATGTAAAACTATTGTTATTTAATGAGCATGACACAGAGTGCTTTAAGGAAATAAAAGAACGATTGCAGTGCTTGTAAGATGGTAGCGGAAGGTAATCTATTAAAGAAGCAATCATTATACATCGAATCTCTTTATGTTCTCCACAGACCTCATACATACCAAGCTCATGCACCAATTGTGTGTTCTGCTCATTAACAAGAACATATTCAATTCCATGTGTATCAAAAAAAATAAACAAAATTCTTGCAAAAATAGGAACAAATCTTTTTTGTAATGGGTACCTTGATAGACAATATGGGTAGAAAATTTATCCGGCAGTTGTCCGCATGTAGATATAATTGCCTCAAAAATTGTAGAACTAAAATTTGTGATATTGAATGAAAATGAATTGACCGCATAATTTTTTGAACTCGGTATGCTTGAATTATTGTATGATTGCAACAATTGATGTGTCTCAGTTAAGGTTTTACATACATGCTTGTAATTGTTAAAATTTCTGGCACACTTTTTAAAGTAAGAATGCTTTTGTTCAAACCTCAAAGTGAAAACCCGCATTAGAGGCCCGTAACGCAAAATTAGCTGTGGATAGTGGGACAAATAATGATGTTTTGGTAATAGTTTCTTGGAAGGAAATAATTCTTTACGAGAAGACAAATAGCCATTTATTGAAACCTGCAGATAAGCAATATGTTGAATGTCAATTTTGGGTGAACATATAATCTCCACAATTTCTTTCAGTTTTAAATACAATAACCACACAGGATCTTCAAAATCTGTAATGTAAATTCCTATAAAAAGGGGAAACAAACGCAAAAACACCCAGTTTTGAACTGCATGACCACTTAACTTTTCAGTACAAGAAATTTTATTCACCTCACAAGGTTTATCCAAGGCATCTCCTTCAAAATACTTCTGCATGTTAATTTTTCTATTGATATTGTTAAATGAAAACCATCGTTTACTAACAAAATATTTAACAAATAGATACATATCTCGTGAAGCAACGCCTTCAAAAATATCATGAGCTAAGCATGGTGGCAAACCTGTAGTCACATGAAATCCGCATAAATCATTGAATGGTGACTGAAATTTTATTCCTTCAAAATTGTTACCATTCTGAGCTAATTGAAGCAGGCTATTATTGTGGCTTGATTTTGTCCGATCAGATCCGGAGAATTGAGGGTTAAAATCAAACTCTGCACGTGTTGCTAAACAGTATCGACAAAAGTGCAAAACTGTGCTAAAATTTTCACAAAAACCTCCTATAGAATGTGATCCTAAATTATCTCCTAGTATGCATAGAAGTTTTGTTTTTATTGATAAACTTTTAGAAACAGAAACAGAACAACCAGATATTTCTGCCAATTCAGAAAAAATTGGTGCAAACACTTTGCTGAGGCCAAAGTACTTTAAATCTGTATCTTTACACATTAGAACCAGCTGTAACTGCTCCGATGCATATCTCTTGTGGGATGGAATATTTGCTAATGTTAAGTAAACCGCAAGAATTTTATGTTTTTTCCTTCCTGATCCAATTGGGTTGACAATTTCAAAAGAATCTTGATATAGCATTAGATATAAAATTTCATCATCAGACTTTGCAATATCTTTAATTAGGGATCCACTCATTAAGTCTGTATATATACCAAAATTTTCCTCCGGTTTTAGCCAAAAACCAGGTTCATTACTATGTTTATTGTACATCATTTTTAATAAATCCTTTATTGGAACATAATGAACAGTTCTAGATTTTTTATTGGCATCAAAACCTAAAGTCAATTCTCTTGGAGATATATAACTCATGTGTTTATGAAAATAAGCTTTCCTTTTTTTATTAGTACTTAAAGTGTACAAACTGTTTATCTTTGTATGTTCTGACTTAGAAAATTCTGCTAAAACATTTTCACAGATATCACTGCTTTGATTGGACATTGCAGATGACAGACTTTGAACAGATAATAAAGAACTTGAATGATTTGCTACCATAAGTTCATCAAAAATAGATTGAATACAAGAAGCTGGTATTATATTTTTTACTTGCAATTTTAAAAAAAAGAGAGCTTGATCCTTTAAATATTTTTCATAAGAAATATCATCAATACCATCAAGAAACTCTTCATTTTCATAGTGTTCTAAAGATCCACATGTAAAGCTTTCTTGTTCAAGTGTGCTAAAATCTTTATCGTTATTTAAATAAGAAGAATTTAAGCTATGTACAATATGCACTGGCATGATAAAACTTGGATCCCATTGCTTATGCTTTCTGCTTATATGAGATGCAAATGAATTTCGATTAGTGTAAGAACTTTTGCAATTCATGTAAGGACAATGAACTGTGTCAAGTGAGTCAAGATGTAATTTAAGATGTAAAATAAACTGAGATAAACCAGCACATATTTTTTTACATAATGCAATATCACATTTAAAACTTTGGAAAATCTTATTTATTTCTGTTATTGGTTTATTTTCCATGATGATTGTATTATGAGCTTTTCTTATATGCAATTTGAAAGTTGAATATGTTTTGAAAATAATTCTGCAATTTTTAATGCAACAAGGAAATTGAATATTAGCTAAATTGCGATGGCTTTGATAATGAGTCATATAACTCAGCAACGATTTCATTTTTTTGCCACAATGGTTGCATGCTTTTAAATCCAATTTAGACATTTTCTTTTTATAACTGTAATATATATATATATATATATATATATATATATATATATATATATATATATATATATATATATATATTTACATTTATACAATAATAATAATAATAATAATAATAATAATATGATGATGATTTAAGGTACGAAGATATAAAACATAACTAAAATTTATAGTTGTAACAACTATTAAGCCTGAAACTATATTTAGCCTGAAAATATTAAACACTCGTATATATATTATATATATATATTATATATATATATATATATATATATATATATATATATATATATATATATATATATATATATATATATATATACATATATATATGGAGTATTATATTCTATACATATATATAATATATATATATATATATATATGACGAGTGTTTAATATTTTATATATTCAATATATAAAATATAATATTCAATCTTATATCCTTATAAATCAAGTGCAACAAGAAATGTCATTGAAACAAACATTATTTTATAAACTATAAGATCAATTATTAAGATATATGCAAATATTTTAAATATAAATTATTCTAAAATCAATGCTAAATCAAGACTAAATATTTAAAAAAAAAAATGCCAACCCGATTTGCTAGTTTTCTCTACATACTCTAACAATTTCACGGTAGTATACCGTGAAGTAGTTTAAATCAGTGTTCAAATTGTAATTACGGTACAACACCGTAAAAATAACGGTACTGTACCGTAAAATGCAATCACGGTACAATACCGTATTATTCACTGTATAGTACCGTGAATTTCACGGTAAAGTTTTACAGTGTATATATATATATATATATATATATATATATATATATATATATATATATATATATATATATATATATATATATATATATATATATATATATATATATATATATATATATATATATATGTCCAATAAATATTAAAAATTTCAAAATTTCAAAGTAAAACACAATAATTAAAGAATATCAACATCGATCATTTAAAAAAAATATATTTTTTAATAAATTTATTTTTTTATAAACAACCCAAGGTAATGTCACAAAAGTCATAAGTAATTATTGTTACTCAAGAGAATACATTAGAAATTTAAAAAAATTTAAATTTTGAATAAGTATTTTTGATTATGAACAAATTTTAAACCGCTCGTCAAGCGCATGAATAAACTAAAATAAAATTTTTCGATATTTTAATAAAATAAGAAAGTTTTTATCTTTTATATATAATCTTTTAATGATAAAATTTTAATGATTGCGTATAAGTTATATACGCAATCTTTAAAAGATTTTGTAAATCGGTCACTGTAAGATTGGTTTTTACTTCATTTAAAATTTCAATTTTTTTTTCCACTAAAGATACCTTTCCTACAGACTTTAATTCATTCGTTGTTTATAAATTTGAACGCGCAGGCTGCTAATGCTGTTATCTTGGCGAAACTACTCGCCATTTAAAGACACGAAAAATCGAGCATTAAAAAAGGGATAAAAACTGACTCATTTATAAACGTGTTCATTCAAATGAAAGCTGTTTTAACAGTTTTAATCATCCTAGTTTTTCAATTTGGATTCGGCCTCCAACAAATTTATATTAAAACTTAAAGAATGCATGCTATGTACATGCTGGAAAAACCCACTATTAATGAACAAATGAACTATGTAAAAATGACAATTTCAATCTAGTTCCATTTAACATTACCGGTTCTTTTATCTTTTTAAAACATTTTAATTGCATTTTTATTGTATTTTTATTATAAGATTTCTATTAGTTCAACTTAATTTTAATAATTTGATTTAAGAATTTATGATTAAAGTATTTTAAGCGATGATGTCTATGATATAGCCGAAACATGTATTTACAAAATAAATAATTCTAACAAAAATTAAAAGGTTTGTCTTATTTATTAGAATATATATATATATATATATATATATTCAAATGTAATTCAAATATACATTTCAAATGTAAAAACAAATTTTAAGTAAAAAAGTTAAAATTAAGTACTTTTAACTTACATCCATATCAGGAAAATTTAGATTAAATAACACAAATCCATCAGAGTTAGGGTAAGGGTTAGGGTATACATCGAAAACTCCTTTTCACTTTTCATAATCTTTATACATATATATTGTGACTTCTGTATGACAACTAGACCTTTTTTAGGTCCGCAAAGCCAAGTTCGGCTCCCCAAAGAGCGTCATAACCCACTCTAAGGACAAAAAGTAAGGTTAGTTTATTAAGAACAATAATATATTAGACTAAAAGATAAAAGCAGTTGTGTTAGAAAGATTGCATAGAGACAGCGGACAGGAATTGCACACGATGTTAGAAGGTATTTTTGTATTATTTTTTTATTTTTGGAGAATAAAATTTGGGGTCATATAATTATATCATGCGAATATGCATAAAGGAATCATAGAATCCAAAAAATACATTATTTTAAAACTATTGCATAATTTACAGACATGTCAGTAAATTGCTGCAAAAGGGTTGCACAAACCTATAGGATAAATCTATGTTGCACAAACCTGTTGCACAAACCTATTTGGCTTTAAATATATATTTGATAATTTTCAACTGTTGTTACATTTGACTTGAAATTTTGACTTGAAACTTTGTATTACATTTGACATGAAATTTTTGATAGAGATACAAAACTATAAGAAAATTAAATGCCATAATTTTTTTTGAATCTGTCGAAATTATCCAGAATTGTTAATTTTACTGACTGAAGTGTTTTTACTTATTTACCTAGTCTTTTAGAAAAAATTTGGGTTATATTATAAAAACTCCATGCAAATATGCATAAAGGATCGTGGAATCCAATTGATTTATCTGTTTAAAATTATTGCTTAATTTACAAACCGATTAGTAAATTAGTATGGGCATTGAAATATATTTAAATCATTCAGAATGACCTTATTACTTATTTAACAGACAGAAGATTCTTGAATAAAGTTAAAATTTAAATTTGAATGAAAAAATATTTATTAATTGGTTTTAAAAATAAATAAAAAATTATAAATTAACAATTAAAACTAATAAAATAAGAAACTTACTTTTTGAGATTGTTTATGTGAACTATTGACAACATCTTAGATAAAAAAAGTGAAAACAACATTAAAATAAAATTGTTGTTATTCTAAAGTTTATCTTTTAGCTTTTATTAAATGATTAGAGGTAGAGAGTTTAAGTGAAAAAACAACTTAATAATCACTTTTAACGATAGACACCAGCGAGAAGGTAAGTTAAGTTGTCTATCAACACAAAACATTACAACAACAAGATCACAATCACAAAACACAGAACCTGTGGCACTAAACGCTGCAAATTCACGCTAGTGTCAATACTTAACTAACAAGGTGAACTTCTATCCTCAGTCTTTTACCGTTTCTAACTAACATTAATGATCATCCTGAAAAACTCACAGTTGGCTTTATTTGTTGATGATATAAGAAACATATGGATTTCAATCATCTGTTTTTAGATCTTTAAACTGTTGTTACAGAAAGGTTTGAAATTAACATTAGATAGAGGCGGTGACGCGCATTCTATTGCTCTGGATGATATGGTGTATCTGGCGAAGTCTTAAAAAAGTATTTGCAATCTTGTTGATATTCCTATATTGATGAATGGCAACATTGTTACTGTGTTTTTACTTTAAATCCTTTCTACCTATCTTTTTGTACTGACCTTATGTAACTTATCTTATGTAAACTTTGTATACAAATCATTGCTAAGTTAGTATTTGTTTACAATAATGTAGTACTTTTTTGTTCCTAAGTGCTCCAAAAATTCTTATTTGTATAGTGTTTTTCCTAGAACATCAGCAGGACAATGACAGCATAATTTTTTACGCTTCAACTAGAACTCTGGGAATTTTCAAGGAACTTTTTGATGTCGAATATCTTACCAAAGATGAAGTGTTTAATCGTATATTTTGTGATAATAACCCACTTATAAGTGCCTTAACACAAAAATGTCTAGTTAGAAGACAAATTGCCTTGAGGAAAATATTGCAATTCGGATGTTGAAGTGCTTGAGGAAATTAAAAACTGCCCTCGTACTAAGAATGTGTCTGAAGGTGACTTTGCTTATTATAATCGCAGGTTAATAATGAAACCTAACATGACAAAATTAGCTGCAGCTGGTGTCATCATGTTTAACAACAACAAAACAGCAGATGGGTTAGCTGGAAAATCACAGGAAAAAATTGAAAGGCTTGTTTTACTAGCAAGCCGCAATAGAAAAAGGTATATCAGAAAGTACAGAAAGAAAAGAACAAAATTAATAAGATGAATAAGCGTAACTTAGAAAAGGAAATAAAGAAACAAAGGGCATGCGAGGAAATAGAGTTTTTGACAATAGTAATTGTGAAGGATAATGGTTTAATGTTGTGTAAAGAGGATTTGGAACAAATGTCTGGTACTGAAAATAAAATTCTTAAGTAGTTGCAAAGAAAAAATTAAATTTCGCAAAATAGTACTACTGCAAAAATTTCCGGGAAAGTGGTTACAATTAGGCGAATAAAGCAAAGCTGAAAAAATACAAAAAATTTGATGTAAAGACATTATAATTCAACCTGTTATCAAATTTTGAATTTTTAAAATATGCTCCAGAAAAACCAGCAAGTACAGTAAAATCTTCAGTTATCAGAGTGAAGAAACAAGGAAAATGTTGTTAACATTAAAATAAAAAGTGATAACATATTATCAATGGAATTTTTCAGGAAAAATATTTATACATAAAAGGGTAAATGAAGAAGAAAAGGATGTATGATATTCAGAGCTAGTAGTAGTAGCGTTAAAAATTAAGCTGTCAATTACCTGCCTAACTGATTCATGAAAAAAATTTGCACCATTAAGATTTAAAACAAATTCTTTAGGATGATCTTTATAATAAGACGTCGCTCCACCAAGTAAAAATACAATGTTAAACCGATGATGCAAGAATGAAATCATATAATTTTTTCAAAATCTTATACGCAAAAATGCCCAAAAATTCCATTCATTAGCTTTCTTATTTCGCTGATCACCATGTTTATAGCTTGTAAGTTTTGAAAATTTATATAAAATGTTAAAGGTGAGTTTTGAGAATTTTCAAAACCACCATGAATTCCGCCTTCCTCCTCAACCACTTTTTACCATTCCCTGATTGCTTTTTCAGCATATACTCCTATATTGTAGACAACATGTAAACCACAAAAAAAATTGATCCATTTTAGAAATTTTATTTTTTTATTTAAAGAAAGCTGATCATAAAGGCAAAATTGTTTCTCTCCAATGTTTAAATTGGTGAAAAAAACTTAAACAAACAGTGCGATCTGTCATCAAAGACTTGAAGGAAAAAATAAGCTTTTTAAGATCATCTTTGTAGCTGTCATTTTCAGGAGAAAATAACTGAGCCAAATCAATGAGTAAATTTCTTAGCTCACTAAAAATTAAATCATTCGTTTCATCAGTTGTTTTCGAACCAGTGCTTTCAAATTTTTTTTGAAATACCATCCGTTTGTTGATCTGATTGGGAACGCTTTATAGCCAAATCAAGCTTTTTTTCCAATTTTAAATTTATTTGCAACAACTGTTTAATCTTAAAATCCTTTCTAACTTCTCTTTTGTTGACATTTCTGACATTATATTTTGCCAAGATTGCTTGATATTTTCTTTTATATTCATTGCATCTTCGATTAATTTGTCTATACTGAAATTTGAGATGATTAATTCTTCGTTTGTATTTTTTTATTTGATAGATCAAATCACCAGATAAAATAGGTAGTTTTTTATCCATATTGGAAACTGGGAGATTCTTCTCGTAACTTGTGTTTCAAGAATAAAATTTTCAAAACCATTAACTAAAGTGATGTATCCAATAGATGTTGAGTTATCGGAGCACAAAAAATCATCATTAGCAATTTGCAAGTTTATATTGGAAGATACAGAAACAGTGACTTGATGAGTGATTCGGAACAGCTTCACTATTATGGATAGGAGTAGAACAACCATTAGGTGACAAACAAACAACATCAGAAAATCATTAAAAGATGAAACAGAGTTTAAAAAATCTTTTGTTAAGTCAAAATTTTTTTCTCGATTTAATTTTGCAACATAATCTTTGAACTTTTTCAAGAACTTAACTAACATCACTCTAGAGATATTATATTTACAGTAGGTTGTAAAAAATAATGAAAGATTTTGCCAAGTTAAGTTATATTTATCTTTTTCATGGCATATTTTTAAAAAGTGGCTATTAGTTATTATAAAGTTAGGATATTTGACAGAAATAATGCCATCATTTATATTTATTAAATCCAAAATGGTTTTGTAGGGTGCTGTTTCTTACAACATTTTGGTAGCTAAAATTAATGTTAAACTTAATTTAAGTAGTTTAATAAAAGCAAATTAAATTATTATTAGAATTCATTGGTTCTTTCACCAAACCAATATAAAAAATAACAAAATAATTGAAAAAAACTGATAACTTTCTTACACATTTCCATTTAGTGAACTTTAGTTGATTATTATTTCCAGGTTTTTTTTTTTTTTGAAAAAACAGCTTAAAGAATCTGACAGATTATCTGTAGTACAGACTGTAGTAAAAGTAGTAAAAACCAAGCTTGTAGTTGAACAATCGTAACAAAATACCTTAAAAAATTGAAAAAAAAAAAATTTTATGCGTTCAAAACTGAAGTCAAAAATTATATTTTCATTTTCAATTGAAGTTATAATTACAGAAACGCAAAATCAAAATAAAAAATTTCAGAAAATACGCAAAGGAATATAGATATATACACACATAGTTTCTATATACAAATCCTTAGTATATATTTTTCAAGAAAACATAAATAAATACTTGTTTTAAAAAGAGAAAAGGCTAAACTTGTCATTTTCACCTGGACACTTTTAAAAAACTCTTTTTTTCTATGAAAATAAACCTTGAACTTTTGAAACGCTGAGAACTAAAAATTTTTGTATAAAAGTTAAAAAGTGTCAACATTCCATTAGATTCCTCACCCCTTTTTTAAAATATACTGAAAGTTTTATAAAAGTTGGATTTGATTTAGTACTAAGGAATCTTTACCTCCAAAAGCTTCGTTTTAAAAAAACGTTCCCGCGGCAATCTTTTTTATTAAAAGTGGTCTCAGGATCTTGATTATATTTATGTGAAGCTATATATATGGCTGGAAAGAGGTTGAATAACACTAATTGATACAAAAAACTTCAAGATGATTGTTTTACTGTAAAAAAAGATATAAGAGACTAGGTAAGCAGAAGATAGTATGCGTCAGGATGTGTTTTTTAATTATGCGAATTTTATTTGTTACGTCATGGTAATGTTAAATTACGTTGCGTATTTGTTTTCATTCGTTATTTCCACGTGCTTTATGTTTTATAAACTTTAAATGGATGAAAATAAAGATAATAGTAAGTTTACATGTTATAATAATTATATCATTCGAAAATAATATTTTTATAAAATAGATTTAAAAATATAAAAGATTATAAATTTTTTGATTCGGGATAACATTGGTTAAGGTAATAAAATTATTATAATGGAATGAATCAATTTTTACTACATTTGTGCCAGTGACTAAAAAATATAGCTATCGTAGCTTTTTTTGTAAATTACATTCTTTTATATTATTTTCTTTTTCATATGAAAACGAAATTAATATAAGAGAATGTAATTTACAAAAAAAGCTACGATGATCATCTGAGAATTTCAGAAAAAAATGGAGCACTCTATTCAAAATGATGTGCAATAGTTGTGTAAAAAATTTTTTTTTCTCCCCCCAGTCAGTTATTATATAATACAAGTTATAAAATAAACTTTCATCTTAGCTATTTTAGCTGCAGGACAAATAATGGGTATAGTAAAGTTCAAATTATTTTCAATTTTAATACCAGGTATCTTGGTCAGGTACTTGCAAGTACCTGACCAAGATACTTGGACAAAAAAAAATTTATATATTAACTTATATATTAAAAAATTTATATATATTAAAATTTATATATTATTATATATTATTATATAGTATATATTATATATTAAAAGACAAAAAAAAAATTATATACTAACATATTTTTTGGAAAATGTTGGAAAAGGAAAAAGTATAACTTAGTGAATTTACCAAACTTGGTAAATTCACAAAGTTATACTTTTTCCTTTTCCAACATTTTCCAAAAAATATGTTAGTATATAAATTTTTCAGTGATACTCAAGTAATTTTAATAAAAGTTTGTAAAATGTATGCCCATTTATTTACTAGCATTTAGTTTTAGACCATATTTACTAACCAGCCTCAATGCTTTTAAATTGTAAAGTTATTTATATTGTTGTTTATAGCTAACAGAAAAAGCCATACATTTATTTATAATGATGAAAATGAGGTCTTTTGTTTCATAAAACAACATGAATTAGAGTACACAGTTCGCTATGCAACATGGTTCACACCCAAAGGGTTTGGTAATACAGGTTAGAACCTTTTTTTTATTTACTTTATATCAATTATAAATGCCTAAGTTAAAGAACTTTGAATTTATTTACTAAATTTATGTTATAGATAGAGTAAATACATTAACCAATTAATTTACCAGGACATTCTTTAATTCCAAATTTCCTTAAAAGTGAAAATAATTTGATTTATCAAAAGTTTTCTTTTCAATACAGGTTTTCTTTTCAAAAGTTTTCTTTTCAATACAGGAAAGATTAATATAAAGCATTATTAAGCAAAAAATGTACTGATAATGAAAAAAAAGCATAAGTTTAGAGAGTAGGTTATAAGTGCATTAATATTTTCATTAAATTTCCCCCTAGGTTAGCCCTTTAGGCTAGAGAGAGGGTTTTTTCTTCTCAAATTTAGAAACGAAAAAATATAAATTTGCAAATGTTCCTTTTTTAAGTTAAAATACAAATGTTAAATAACTAACAAAAAAAAAATAATATGAAAGTTCATGTTAAAGGTTATTGCCTTAAGAATCAAATAAAAATGGCTAAATTTTGGGTTAATTTTGATGTCAATCTTTAAGTTATTGCAGGTTTGAGTTATGGAGAGATTTATATAAGAAAAATCAACAAGAATTCCAAAAAAATTTGAGTTACTGGAAGTTTGAGTTACCAGGGGTTTGAATTATTATGAATTTACTTTATTTTGAATTATTTAAAACAAAATATAGGTTTGTTGAATATATAATTGACTAATCACAATTGGTGTAAAATAAATTGTGTTATATCTAGATGTTCATAGTAAAAAGCACAAAGTGTTATGGGAAAGTGAAGGATGCTATGCAAATGTTCCATTTATGGTTTTAGCACGCAAGGTTTTGGATTGCTCACATGAAATAGATCGTAATGATGCAGCAAAGAAAGCATACAAGAATAAGACAAGAACAAAGGTAAATTTTATTATCAATAAAAAAGATACAAATAATAACTTAATCATTAATAAATAACTGTTATTATTGTACTTATTTTATAATTTTAGATAACTGAACACTCTTGTATGAGGAGTTATATTAATGTGCAGGACACAAAAAAATTTGAATGCCCAGCCCAAGCTATTTTGAAGGAAATTATATACTTCAAGAATTACATGGTATTTTAAAGTGATTTACTAAGGTGGTTAGAATTTTTGGTACTATATATAATGCACCAACATTAAAAAAATTTTAAGAATAGCATTTTAAACATGTTTTGTAATTTATAATTCACGCCAATATTAGAACTATTTTTAATTCAACGCAAAAAGAGTGCAAAGCCATATAAGTAAAACACACTCGCAGCGTTGTTTTAATAAGACAAAATTGAGATGTAATTTATTTAAATGCAGATCTAGACCGGAGTTTTAGTAATGCTTATTATGTTTCATTTGAACATACTTCTATCCAGGTAACTTTTTTTTTTGGACATATCACTGCATAAACTGTATAATTTTTTTGGGCATGTCACTGCATAAACTGTAACATTAATTACCTCTTTTTTGTTTATTTCCTTTTTCATAATTTTAAAGCTTGCTGAACCCAACACATGGAAAAAGAGAAAAATTTCTTTAAAATAAAAAATTTGCTCAAGAACAAGAGCGACATTGGATTCACTGAGAAGCGAATTAAGCTAATTATTGATGACATTTCAGAACACAGAAACCATGCTGTTAGAGAAGTAAGTTAAATTTTATTATTAAATTGTTTATAAAGTAAATGTTTTGAAAAATTTAGAAATTATTTTTTTTTTTTCAAAAAGAATTTTTGATAAATATTTAGCTTTTCACTTTTAAAGTCATGTAGCTGTTGGGTATAAGTTAAGTATTATAGTATAGTATACTTTAGTTAATATAGTTACTATACTTACCGTATTGTAAGATGATATTTTGCATGGATAATATTGTTTAATATGTCAATTAAAATACACCAAGTATTATCATTAGTGGTATACCACTGTATTGCAGTTGAGGTTGATGTGAAAATTAAAGTGTTCAAAATGTTTATTATAAATTATTATAATAAACATTTTGATAAATTATTATAATAAACATTAATTATAAATTATTAAATCATAATTTTACAAATAAAATAGCATGTTCATGTATTGGGCATTGCTGGAACTTTTATTTATCAACCTATTTTCCTTGCGTATCAATGTTTTTGACATCATTGTCAATAATAACATAATGTCAAGTTGCAGAGTTCAAGAACTCTTGAAAAAATATGGCTTGGATTCTAAGCTGCCAGAAAAACTTGTTGGTGGGCGTGTGCTTGGATTGCAAGTGTACAAACAATGCAACCAAGTGCGCTGGAAACGTGACAACATACTTAAAGTTCCTGAAGGAAAAATGACGCGTCCGCAAGTCTTTTCTTGGTGCGGACAGCTGACTGGACATTTTCCAATAGCAAATTGGTTGCGCCTTTGTGCAGCTATCTAAAAAGGGTTTTGAGTAGTTGTGGATGGGACACTTTGGTGAACGATGGTGTTGTCAAATTAGTAAGCAGTTTAAATGAAAGACTTACAAAGAAAGATCCGGTTCATGGGTCATGGAACGTAAAAAACACTTCTGAAGTAACAGTGTGGTGCGATGCAAGCAGTTTAGCTGTTGGCATAGTTCTGGAAGTGGCTGGGGAAATAGTAGAAGCCTGCTCGTGGCTGAGAAAACAAGATGATGCGGCTCACATTAACCTCGCAGAGTTAGAAGCTGTGATAAAAGGAATCAATCTACCAACAAAATAGGGATTCGAATGTATTACCATAAAGTGTGACTCAGCTACTGTTGTTGGCTGGTTGAAATCCTTTATCATTGGTGACAAACCCATTTGAGTACACGGTCTTGGAGAACCACTTGTCCGTTGCCGGTTATCGTTAATTGAAGACCTTGTGAAGGAGTGCGGTATACAATTAAAACTTTTCCTGGTTAAGTCAGCAGAAAATAAAGCCGATGCTCTTACGAGGGTACCACAGAATTGGCTGCATTCAAACCATTCTGCAATGACAGCAAATCTTGTACCGCCTGATGTGAAGTCGTTTCATATTCTTCATCACTTTGGAGTAAATTGAACCCTTTATTTGATGAAACAGACATATCTGAAGGAGAAAGTTTGTAGAAAAGATTGAATCAGTCATCAAGAGTTGTGAAAGATGTTTATCAGTAGATCCTGCTCCAATCAGATGGGAAGAAGGAAATCTTGAAGTTGGAAAGAGCTGGTACCGTTTAGCTATTGACGTTACCCACTATAAATCAGAGATTTATTTGTCTATCATTGACTGTGGCAAAAGGAGCAAGTTTGCAATTTGGAGGAAGCTACAAAACGAGAAAGGAGCAACAGTGTGTTTCCATCTAGAAGAAATATTTCAAGAAAGAGGACCTCTGTGGCAAGTTCTTCTTGACAACAGCAAGACCTTTCGCTCAAAACTTGTTGGTGAATTATGCGCAGAATGGGGAGTGTCCATCCTGTTCATTGCGCTCACAAGCCATCTGAAAATGGAATTGTTGAACGTCATCATCACACTATCAAGCTCATGGCAGCAAGAAGTGGAAAAGATCCGTTAAAAATGGTATATTGGTATAACGTGGCTTCCAGAAAAAATGGCAAGGAAACATCGCTCCCCTACAAAGCTATATTTTCCTATGAGTGGAAACCACACACAATTTTTGACAAAACTAACGAGGAAGTTCTCCACAACTACACACAAGGACAAGAAGTATTTGTAAAACCACCTGATTCAAAATGTACTAGCGAATGGAATAGAAGAAGAGTCTCAGATGAAGGACGAGGAGTTTCGGTAGAAATCAATGGATTGCCGAGACACATGTCAGACGTCCGTCCAGCTCCCATTGTAGCTACCTTGTCTACGAGAGAACCGGAAGAACCCACCGCGAACAACCTGAATCTCAGAAGATCGACGCGTGTGCGGAAGTTTCCTAATAAGTATGCCGACTTTGTGATCTAGAGAAACTATTAAGGTGTTGCGTCAGAAGGAATGTTGAAGGCGGGTCGTATATATTATATTGTACATAACGTTTATACTGTTTATTATACTCTTGGGGGTATTTGCAAATGTATATATATTGAGTAAAGATATTCAGAAAGACAGTAAGAAAAAACAAATATATTTTATTATTACAGAATCTTAAAATCTACAGATTTTTAAGTCTTCTGTCAAGCTTTCTTGCTTTTCAATTTTACTTTAAGTTTTCTGTCACTTCTAACTTAAACTGTATATACTATGTTGTTGCAGTCTTGTCAGTATTGAATTAGGTAAAAGAAAAGGTGTGGCATGCATTGCTTTGTTGGTTTTAAATTAGGTAAAAAAAAAAAGAATGAAAAAAATGTATTTTTAATTTTTTAGCTTGCTGGTATTTCACAGGAAATTGATCCTAGATTATCTAAAAAAATAATAGATTATGCCAATGAAGTAAAAAGTATACACAAAATGAAACGCCTACTAAAAATCTTTGTTAAAAATGACATGTTTGATAAAACATCTATGCCTGATTTAAGAAATAGGCGATTTTTCCCTACCAACAACATTATTCGATCGCATATGGTACAAGCACGAAAGAAATTACACATTTCTTTTATTGACCAGGAATGCCTTCTTGATAAAATAAAAATGTGGCAAAACGAGGATCCATCAGTAAATATTTTTTTTCGACCTAAAAACAACTACACATTAAATAACATAGCAGACAAAATACATAAAAATGAAGACATTAATGAAGAAGAAGATGATTTGAAGTTTACTGAAAATGATTCAGAAAAATCACTATTATTTGTTTACCAATCAGAATGGCAATGCTCCTTTTAGATGCAACCTATAAAACCACCAGATATGTTTTACCAATTTTTTTTATAGTAGTCAAAACAAATGTTGACTACCAAATAGTTGGATGCTTTATTACAGAAAATGAAACGAAAAGAGCAATCTATGAGGCATTGCATGTTTTTAAAAAAATGAATCCAAACCTTTCTCCTAAATTTTGCATGACAGATTACTGTAATGAGGAAATTGATGCATTGGTAGAAACTTTTCCTGGTAAGTTTTTTGAATAGTTAGAATTTCAATAAAGTCTCCGTGTTTACAATAGTTCTTTGGTTGTTATAACAGAGGGTGCAAAATTATAAAAAGAAGGTGCGAAAAAGTTTTTGGTTTTTGTTTGCGCTGGGTTTAAGTTAATTTACGCTTTTTGTTTAGATTGTAAAGTTTTGGTCTGCGATTTTCATCGGGAACAGGCCTGGGAGCGTTGGTTGGTAAAAGTCTCAAATGGTTGTGCTAATCACAAATCCAATATCCTGCTCAAACTGAGAAAAATTGCTCATTCAACAACTATAAATGCTATGGAGTTAGCTGTAATGGATTTGAAACAATCTGATTTTTGGAATAACGAAAACTTTTTAAAGTTAAGAAAGTATATAGAAACTTATTGGTTACCTATCAAAGAGGTATTATCTAATAAAAGAAAATTATTTAAAAAATTAATTACATTTGTTTTTTAACAAGTTAAATAAATTTAATTGAATAAATTCAATTCTTTTAATTATGTATTAGCCTAAAATATTTTTTTATATATTTCAATTTTTCAGCGTTGGGTTTGGGCATACCGTCAAAACCGCCTACTTGTTAATTTAAACACTAACAATGGAGTGGAGAGGCAAAACAAATCTTTTAAATATTTTTACCTCCAACGATTTAAAAATTATTCATTAACTGGAATGCTAACAATCTTAATTGAAGAGTTTTTTATAGATAAATATCAAAGGTAAACGACTTGTTTTATATTATTTTAAATTATTAAACTTATTTTTGTTAAAATTATTTACAATTAAAAAAAGTTTCATAATTTTATAACGAGTATTAAAAGTATATAATTGCTTAAACTACTGATTTATAATGATATTTCATTATGTTCAGTTTATTTTTTAGCTATACTGAAAAGAACTTCAAAATGGACTCGAGGTATCGTCGATACGCAAAAATAATACCAAATTTTTTAATAAATAGGCCTCGTGCATTGGTCAAGCATTGCCTTCAGAAAATCAGTTTAGCTGGAAGCATTGATTTATCTAAAGTCACAATGATAAACCATGGGGGTTTTTCCATTAAAAATAATAAAGAAAACTACCAAATTAATTTTGGAAATGATAGATCTATGCCTAACTGCACATGTCCTTCCTGGCGTTCATCTTGCTTTCCCTGCAAGCATTTTTTTGCCATTTTTAGAAAGTTTCCACTCTGGCAATGGGATGCATTGTCAGAACTCTATCTTAATTCACCATTCTTAACATTAGACGATGAAGAAAATACTTTACCTGACAAAATAAATTGTTTTCAAAATAAAGAAACTTTGTATGCAACAAATGAATGTGACATTAGTTTACCAATTTCTAAAAATCTAGACTTGTCTGAAGAAATAAATGCCAAAAAAATGTGTAATATTGATTTAAAAAAAGAAAGTGTTTCTGCTGGGGACTGTAGGGAGCTCATTAGTTTAATTAAAAATCAATTGTATGAGGTCAACAAAAGTACCAGTCTTTTTACAGAAGTATATAGCCTGTTACTGAAAGCGTCAAAGCTTTTACAAGAAAATACTACCCACGAGAGTGGCATACCTATTATTCAGCAACAACATGTTAAAAACTTTAAACTTTTAGACTTGCCAAAAAAGCATAAAAAAAAACATATTCTAATCGCTGTGGATTGGCTAAGGATAAAAAAATAGCTGATGGCAAAATAAATGTTACAACATTTACATGCCATGACGTCAATGTGGAGGAGGAAGTAGTTATTGAAGACATGGAGCTAGATGACCTTACTTCATTTACTTCTAATGTACCCGATGTGTATGTACAGTCAGAAGGAGAATTTGAGAAAATGTTAGTAATAAAAGACAACATTGAAGATTCCTCCTATATTTTAAATTCTTGTTTTGATATTCCCAGACATTACTTTGAAGCGATTGGTAGCAATGAAATGCTAACTGACAACATCATTAATGCTGCACAAAAAATGTTGCTATGTCAGTACCCTAATGCTAAAGGTTTACAAGACCCCATTCTTGGCCAAAACCTCAGTTTTAGCATTCTAAAAGATGAAGAGTTTGTTCAAGTGTTGCATGATGGGTGTGCTCATTGGTTTGCGATTAGCACAGTAAACTGTTTATCAGGGCATGTTTTTGTAATGGATAGTTATTTTAGAGGTAAACTTAGCCATGCCACAATGAGACAAATATGTTCAATAATTCGTTGCCCATTAAGTAAAATTAAAGTTACAGTTTTACCAGTTCAACAACAGACAAATGGTATTGACTGTGGCATCTATGCAATTGCTTTTGTACAATACCTGTTACATTTTAAGGACTATCCCACAAATGTGAATTTTGATCAAACAAAACTGAGAACCGAGCTGCTTAACTCTTTTAAAAACAACTATTTAAGTTTGTTTTCAACCACAACAAACAATGTCAGACGAAATGTTGAAAAGGAGATATATTTAGATTTATACTGCACTTGCAGAATGATTTGGGTCCCATCAGATAAAAATATATTTGGAAGGTCAATATTTTATTATCTTTTATAATAATAGTTATAAATAATTCTATTACATAATAGTGAATAAAATTTAAATGTTTAGAATGTAAATGTAAAAAAGTATAAATTAGATCAAATGAAATCTAATTTTGTACTATAACAAATCTTTAAATGATGTGTTTTATTTATAGGCACATGGTAGAATGTTCAGGATGTTTGCAGTGGTTTCACAGAATGTGCGAAATAATTTCAGATAATGTTCTTAATGATGACAATATCAACTGGCATTGTTCAACTTGTGATAAAATAAAATAATGATACTTCAGTGTTACTTTTTTTTATATATAATTTTCATAGTTTGGTTCTGTAATCATATATATATATATATTATATATATATATATATATATATATATATATATATATATATATATATATATATATATGTTCTGTAATCATATATATATATATATATATATATATATATATATATATATATATAATATATATATATATATATATATATATATATATATATATATATATATATGTATATATATATATACATATATATATATATATATATATATATATATATATATATATATATATATATATATATATATATATATCCTTATAGTGTAGTCGAAAGAGTCGTTTAATGTAAAAAAAGTCTCTTTCTACTACAATTTTAATTACCTCGTCTCTTAAGCTGTATTTGATTGTCGTCGAAATGTCAAAGCAATTAAATTAATGAGGAAGTACATTAAATTTTATTGTTTTTTAAAAAAATTTTAAAAAACCGCAATAATGACGACTAGAAAGTTTTTTGTAATTTGTAGTGTTTTTGTTTTTGTTTTATTAAAAAACATTTTTAAAACATGCGTAAATGTTGCTACATTGACTATCTTATAGCCTGACTCGCAACAGAGTGCTGCTACATCGACTGACAAATAGCCTGACTCGCAACGGAGTGCTGCAACATCGACTGACAAATAGCCTGACTCGCAAGGGAGTGCTGCTACATCGACTGAGGGTTTGGTTTAAAAATGACGTTCCCCTGCGTTCCCCCTTTACTTAAAGTAAGGGGGAACGCAGGGGAACGTCATTCTTCTTTAGCCAACAAATCGAAAAGTTGTTCAGCTTCACTCAATATTTCTTTGCAACTGTTCCACCTTGTTTTTGAGTTTTTTTTTGTTTTTTTACAATAAGATTGTCTATGAATTATGCAACGCCTTAATTATCTCTTTAAAGCTTTGCGCTTTTTAAGTTCAATTTTTATTGAACTTAAAGAGCCATTTTAGTTATTACTAAAATTTATGACTAATATTGAGTAATATTAGTCATTACACGAGATCTAGAAATACAGCAAAAGTGCACCTAACAAAAATACACCTACAGCAAAAATTTGATAGAATGATTTCACACCCGAACAAGCAATTTTGCATCCCTTTGAACAATTTTAGAAACTGCTAATTCAATGGTCTCTTCCAATGGAATATTAGTGAATAAACTTTCAACATCAAAAGAAATTAAAAAATTATTACTGAAATTGTGTAATTTTAATTCTTCAAGAAAAGTAAAGGAATCTTTTGATGATCAATACACAGTTTGACTAAAGTACTTAAGAATGTAGGTAGTTTATAATAATAGGCATAATAAAGAAATAATAGGTCTGAAATTAGGAGTTTGTTCAAACTTTTTACGTGCTGGTTGTGATAGTCTTGGATAGATTTGCTTATATTGCTTTTTAGTAAAAAAAGTTGTTTATGTAATTTCTGTAGCAAACATTATAATTGCCCTTGTCTTAGTAGATTAGGATCTTTGTCTTGTAATTATTTTTTTTTTTAAGTATTCTTAAACAAAATAAAAATATAGTTATTTTAACACATGATAAAGGTAACTGAGATAAAGGTAAATGTTTATAAATTAGTTTAAATAAAATATACTTATATAAACTTTTATTACATTTTTAGGATATAATGTTAGCTAATTCCTTTTGATGCTGAGTTTCAGTCATGATTTTGATAGCTAAATATCAAAACCTGATGTTTAACTTTTGAATCATAAACTGAGAGTCAATACAATATAAGATTGCAAATCATGAAAATGTCAACTGAGAAAAAGAAAGACCTAATAAAAAATCGGAAATTAAAAGGTATATTTTGTTATTTTTTATTTGTTTGTTAACTAATATGTTGTAGAGAATGTTTGCGATACTTTTTTTTCCATTGGGTATTAATTTAATATTTGTAGATAAATACAAATAAGTTGCTAATGCTCTTATTATTGTTAATAAGTTATTGGTAATTAAATTAATAAATTAATACAACAGTAATACAACATTTTCAAAATCAGAAATTAATAAATTAACATTCTGAATATAATGCTCATCACCATCTTCAAAAGAAAAGTTTAGGTTATTAGTTATGAAATATATATACAAGATATTGTTGCTAAATTGTTGTCATTCTGTTTTAATGTTCTAAATAATATAGTTGTAACAGTTTTTATATATATTTTACATGGCTACTAGAATTCATTTCTACCTTACGTTATACTAGGTTAAATGACTTTCAACTACTTTTGTATTAATCACTCATACTAATAATACATGGCACTACAGTATGCATACACACATACTCTCCATTGATACATCACTTGCAAAGCCATAAAAAAATAAGACAGTTCACAACTCTAACCAACCCTTGTTAAACTGTAACAAATCACCACACTTACTATCACTCATGTCCAAAAACCACTTACAATTGAATGCAAGTTGTACTGAAGTCCATTAAGTGTCCTCTGATCTCAGGGTCAATGCAAAGGTCTGTGGCAATTGTCTTGATGGGATACCCTGAGAAAAGTCCATTTGGAATAACAAAAAGGGATACTCTAACAAAAAGATACCCTGGTAAACACCTAGAGTGGAACCACTTGTGGGATGATAAAAGCTGGTCTTCTTGTGTTCATAATGCACCATAAGACGCAAACACATACCATATCCATGAAAAACATATTTATAATGTTTATAACGCTCATAATATAGACCACATGGTTACATACTTATGAAAATAATATGGACATTTTCAAATAACTCTCACACTTTCTACACATCACATCTACGTTCAACACTAACAACTGTTCATTAGCATAAAAATTAATGACTCTTACTTTCCTCAACTATTGTTTATTGTTTATATTTACTACTTTTTACTAAGATTAGTTTATAGTATTTTTCTCAGGAAAAATACTAAAAATCACTCAGGAAGAATATTTATCTAATAAAAAATTAAACTGATTATTTTTGAATTTGAAAAGTGTAAGGAGAAGCTTTGAGATTAAAGATTAAAGTAATAATAAAGGTTTTAGTATAGTGCCAATTTTTATTTGATGTTAAAATAACTTATACAAGGAAAATTAAAAAGTAACTTAACTATGAATATAAAAATAACAAAATAAAAACTTACTTCTAATGTACATTGCTTTTATAGAATTTGTGAAATCTTTAACTTGGTTTTTAAATCAACTACCATTTTTAGTTTATGATGTGAAAGTTAAACATTTGTTTTCAATGTTTAACTATCAAAATCATTTCTAACAGTATGAAGTTGAAGCATATAAGATCAACCCAAAAGAAGTAAAACAATATTAAACATTTTACAGTATTTTCTAAAATAGTTTAATTTAAAGTAATAAAAACTATTTCACTAAAAAAGTGAATAACTTTATTAAGTTATACTTTTAAAAACTATTTCACTAAAAAAGTGAATAACTTTATTAAGTTATATTTTTAAAATCTTAGGTGCTTAATAAATAGAAGGGAATATTTATTAATATTTGGCAACTTTTTCCACATAACCCATGTTTATAAAGACCCCCTTACCCTTCATTTATTAATTTTTACTTGTTATCAACAAAAAACAACATCTTAAAACTTTATAAAATTGTTATTTATATTTATTAAAGTTAGATTTTTATTACTAAAAATAATTAAATTTTAAAATCAAATAAACATATACTGCTATGTAGTTGCTATGTGCTATAAGAATTGAATTATTTTTATTTAGGGATGACCCTTTGATTGGTAATGAAGTGTTGTGAAATGGAGTTCAAACAAATGGAAAAATTAGATTTGGCAACAAAAAAATGGCATCATTTGTTTTTATCATTTGTTTCTAATTTAGGTTATGTCATAATTTTGTAATAATTTATTTAATAAAGTATTTTTAAAAATTCAGTTTTAATAAATGTAAATACTGGCTACCATTATAAATTACCCTTAAATAACAAAATTTTCTAAACTACATACAAAAGTAATTTAAAAAGTTAACGCTTAGCAAAGTCAAGTTATGATAAAAATAGATAACATTAGGCATGTTTAATCAATGTCAATAAATTGTTTTTCTAGAAGCAAACTTAGCTCATAGTTTGTAAAATCTTGATTGTGTTTTGAAATATTATTTTCTAAGCCAAGTTGGAACATTATAATTGACTTTTAATTAAATAGTGCAATTTTTTAATCAATCTTAATGAAATATATTTTATTAGGTTTAAATAATTCTGTCTTTCGTGTTGTTGATTGCCTCTTTTTGATGTAAAAATAAATTTTTTGTTACTCACCAGTATATATAGTTTAGTACATAGTGATAGTGGGTTGTAACCACAACTAATGTAGTGACTTTCATAGTTTTAGGGAAGTAAATTCAAATTTAATAAAAAAAAAAAAAATTAACAAAAAATAGTTGAGCAAATATATATTGAAAGCATTCTTTGCATTTATAATTTGCAATTTGAGAATTTTTAGGCATTTAGTTTAGGACACCACAGATGGTAGCCAAAATTTTTCATTATGATTAATAATTCTGTTCTAAATATATACCACGCAACCTTTGAATCATTTCTTAGATATCAATCAATATACTTCTGAAATAGTTGATAGATGGTTACATTTCAAGGTTGTTTACAAATTGTAATACTACTAATATTAAGTAAACACCTAAGGAAAATGATTAAAATAATTATGTTTGTAAAAAAAAGTAATATTTATGATAATAAACATAAGTTTATTATCATAAATATTACTTTTTTTTTAAAATTCTAACACATTATTTTTTGAGACTTAATAAGCCTGCAAGCCAAGGCTTTTCCACAATAGATTTTTTAAGATATATTTGACTCTATAATTTCTATACAAAACAATCAAATTATGTTTATAACATACAATATATGTTATAAACATAATTTGATTGTATATGATATATACTATAACTTGTTATATATGATATATACCATGCAGATACCATGACATGGCCAACTTATAA